CATTCAACTGTTTATTTATTTATTTATTTGATTAGAATGCGACCGCACGTACAAGGCATTCTGGCAGCCCAGTTGATATCGGGTACCTTATACATAACTGGACATGACATACATAACATAACTGTACATAACCTACATGAATAACAACAGCATTCATGACATCAGAGAATCAAGAATCACGAACTGTAAAGCTACAGAGCATCAGTAAACTATACACGAGAAAAAAGATGTTTTACTTTTTCACAACTTGAAGAGTGAACCTGAGGGAAAACCTTCCAGGCTCCCCCGGAAGTGCACATCAATATTGCCCTGTTTGCCCAAGTCAGGTTGAATCATATTTCCAGTGGGAATCAACGCAATGAAAAACCCGCGATGCCGCCCATCATCAGGAGTGTGTCATAGTAATAACGTCCCTGAACACCCCATCATCAACATCCCTGCTAACGACACTGACAACGATTCATTTTTATGAATTACCTTTTTATTATCACTGAGGGCTGCTTATCAGCTATTACACTTACTAATGAATTGCTCCTTAGTTCAGACTATAAATACTGAACAACTTACCAAATAAACAGACAGCTGCGATATTTCAAATGGTAATGCACGTGGAGGAATGAAACGTTAGTCAATCTCCGAACAACAACTTGAAAAGTTAGATGCTACCATCCTCTGTTAGAAAAAGTTTAGGGTTTACGTTCTATTTAACGAAAGGTTTTTATATACTTCAGTGGTTTGCGATTTTAGCTTCAATATATTTGTGAGTAACAATGCAATTCAGAACCCCTTGGGTTTCTCGCACAACTGTCTTAATCTAAAGGTCAATAAACCGGTCATACGGAAGATGATGCTCGTCTAGACCGACCGTGATTGATTCATGAGTTGACACGAACCGCTGTTAGATCTAATGGCTTCGACAAGCAGCGAATGTCAAGGCAATTCCCACAGTAACAAGACTCTAGTCTCCCCGGGTACCCGGCACCCCGCTGGTTCCGTGATGGGCCCTGTATGAGATGACTGTATAGCTTAGGGTTCGAGATGAAGTCTTGTAGTTTTATGAAAACTCTGATAACTTTCAATTATTATGTCCTGACCCTCGCTCCGGTTGCCAACGCTCCTGGTTAAGTAGTTATCGTAGTATCAGAGTACTTTGCAGCGGGGCACAAGTACGCTCATCAGCACTGGGTCTTTTGTGTTATTACTGCGATATGTCACTCCTTCGCACATTGCTTCTTTATCCCCAGGTAGGTTGGGTTGTCGCCATGCAAAAGTCTGAATCCATCTAATATGTTCTTTCAATACCAAGATGAATTGGTATTGCTTTATCACGATTTTCCAGAAGGTAATCCTGTATTCTGATCCTTGAAAGTTTTATTAGATGTAAAAATGAAACGCATATATCTTTGATTGTATATAGGCGATTGCTCATTGTCAGCGTAGATTCAATACTAGTAGTAAATACCATTAAGTACCTAATACCAGCAACTAAGTATCTAATACCAGCTCAGGAAAGAACAAGAAATAGTCATGCCGTCAAGTACCAGAGTTATTAACCAAGGATTGAGGTGTTCAAACACTCATTTAGAGTCATAGAACCATTGCAGAGTGGAACTCGCTGTCACCAAGTACAGCAGGGGCATTATCATTAGATAGCTTTAAACAATGTTTAGAGTTAGATGTTCAAAGGTTAGGTGTAACAAGTCGTTGTAGCCAGTTGCCTATACAGATACAGATACAGAAAACGCTGCTTATCATGAACTGCATTATGTCTCTGTGTTAGTTCATTGTCTGAACTTATTCATAAAGTGTAAACTAATCTTTAAAAGCCACCCACGAGTCAGAATGGCGTCACGTGGGGAGAGGGACTTTAAGTCATCGATGTGCATCAGTATCACCCTGGCAGGGCAGAGCATTAGTTTCTTTGCACGAGAACGACTTAAAAGAAACAATTAGTAGATCGTGGGAATAAGTTTTCAGCGCCCGACCGCCCTCTATACTCAATGGCACCTTATCCATTGATTAAAAGGAAGTATAGAAAAACCGGCGAAGGGCCTTTGTTACAAAGATCAAGCAATCAATTCCAAGGGCCCTGCCGGTCAGATTCTATATCTAAGAATGACTGCCTGGACCGAGAAGATTACACCGAAGGACGGGCATGTTCGGGAAAATCGATGGCTTTAATGTTCACTGTGTCGTCTACATTGAACCCGCGTTACCCCAGTCGAAGGGCGGGCTCCCATTGCTGATTAATGTACAGGAAAAGCAATTACCTTGCTATCAAATAAGGACGTCGGTGCAATTCTCCGGCACCCCGTCTGTACGCTCGCTAACGTGACGCGGCGGCGCGCTGCGGACGTGCCGACACTCCGCCTGTGCGCATCGCAGCCTCCGACAGCCTGTGACATGAACAGACTATAAAATAGCACAGGTTCATAAAGGTTCATTCCGTAGTCGCAAATTTGAAACTTCTCTCGTTATGATCTACAGGGACCACTAGGAGAGGGTTCCCCGGCTGATAATGGACCATTGCTAGATGTATTGGCTGATCGCTCATGGATGACATTTCTCAGGCGATTCCTGGAATGGAAAACGACAATGGCGTTCATCACGTCACGGGCAAGGTGGTTAGGTTCCCGGAAACTATTACTGTGTGATTATGTGGCGTGATTGTATAATCTTTTAGAACCATTACCGATAAATGGGATGGCAGCTTCGTTTGAGACTGATGCGCCTAAGAGGAAGCAGTGACATGGGGCAGAAAAGTTTGGGATACAATTAGTAATTTAGCAGCAGTTTCATATCTAGCTCGTCTTCAAACTTAGGCCATGTTGATTTGATTATATGGATGACATCCTCCGGGAGCCCCAAAACTGATGCGCGCGTGCGAATAAAAAAAAAGTGTTGCAAAAGAAAAAAGTTCTTATCATTATGAAATCTACGTGGTCATGAGGGTTGAGCAAATGGCACAGAGTATGGTTTGGCGAATAATCTAGTCTTCAAGTTCATTTCTTTACAATTTTGTCTTTTTTCGTTTGATTTTGGCATTCTACGACATTGGTATAGTTTTTATTAATTTTTTTTGTAACTTATGGTATATTTTTGCTCATTTTGCAACTGTTTTGTACGATTTACAGTATGGTTGAAAACTTTTTTTTTGGAAACGGCCGAAAATTCATGCGCGCGCGGATGTTATCCATATAATCAAATCAACATGGCCTAAGGCCAGGGTCTCAGACGTTCATTGATTCAAAGGTTAACAAAGCAATTCATTGGCCAGTCAAAGCTAGGCCGTATCTCGATTATATCCAGATATGGCGCATAAACTGCACATGCACACCTGATCCTCACAGTCTCAACTAAACCATAATGGCGGTCCATTCTGCGTTTAAAGCTTTTTATGTAGTCCATAAGATTATACGATGGAAACTTATAACTGTATAGATGTAGTTTTAACTGAACCGCAGCATTTCTGGGCTATTCTTTTCAATGCGAACGTGCTTTGAGTATAGATGTTAGTCTAGGATCCTCCTGGAGGCTCATCTCCAAGAAAGTAGCATCCATCTCGAGTAAGAAATGTGTACCTTAAGGTACTGCACTTAAGATAAATCCGTACACATCATAGACTTGCCCAATCGCAGGTACATTACAATGCTCTATTTTCTGTGTTTTTGTATCATATGTAGCACAAGGTTTGATTGATCGCTTTCTTCTGACAGATTTACGAAGAACTTTCCCCGAATTTGATTATTCTTGACTACATGATCGAAATTGGACAAGCGAACTAGCCCAGCGCTGCCCATGGGAACTCATACGCCTTCTAATCTAATAAAATTCAACCAGTATTTCATCGTAACTTAATAATTGACATTCTCTTTTTCCAATAATTTGCAATTTCTACTTCGATATCATACTCTTTGGTTGAAAAACAAATTCAACCTTACCACTCCACAATCATTATTTTACAACATAAAATCATTTTACAGGACAACGAGATTTTACGGAGGTACGTACTTGTATCTAACTGTTGACATTTTAGTACATTTACTACCCTGCCAGCCTCATAGAGGCATCGATAACCATAAAACGACCAAAGCTAGATGGATGTTTATAGCGATCAATCAACTTACTGAAAGCATAAAAGCACCCAAACCTGATGTATAACGATTAACCTACTTCTCATCCATCTTTATATAACGTATATAATAAGCAGGCATTACGAACTGTAAGATAATCCAGGGAAGATGAGACTTAACTTCGCCAGTTTGCCTTATCTGTGCGTTGTACCAACAGAATAACTGTCTGTGTATTTGCCAAGACCGCACAATTGTTTCACATATCGGATTATACAATGGCATAAACTACAAAACATACATCACATCAACTCACCTAAGTGCAGTACCGTTTGCTAGGATCAGTGACAAGTGTGACAAGTGAATGCTCAAAGTCAGCGATGTGCCTTGATTACAGAACTGGACAGCCTTTACCTGCCATAGGCCACAAAAGGCATGTGTCCTACAGATAGCACAAACTGTTATTTTTAACTTGTGCTCTAAGTTTTGACCTGTATTCTTGAGTACGGTATGGATGTCGACTTTTTTCACGATGTCCTGCCTTCAATCCTTGTACCTTCATCAACATCGGTATTGATGCCTCTTGGGTGTCATGATTTGTTGTTCTTGTTTGATCGGCACACGCTTGGCGAAGTTTTAATCTGTTTCAAATTTAAACTTTCCCATTTCATTAGTTGAAAGCAGAACAATACTTAACTCACGGATCAACGTGGAATATATTTACACGCAATGCTGTCTGTATAATCATTGTTATCGATGTGGTGTCCATACCTTTTCTCTGTATTCTCATGGTTATGTTGGAATTATTAAGTTGAAGGATACAGAATCTTTTAGATGTCTTGAAATTGACAAAATGAGTATCCTTCGTTAGGACAAGCAGCCAGCAGCCTGTTGAGAATTGTCTTTTCATTCGCCACAATACAAGAGGAGTTAGCAAGACGTTTCAGCATGAAGCCGCGGCACGTACACAGAGCTTCTGCTCGGCACCGTCAGCAGACACATCTCGACCGAGCGGCGGGTCTCCCCGTTCCCGTTGGTTTGCCGGTTCCTGGTGGAGACCGCGTGGAGCCGGTAGGGCGAGTTCCCATCCGCCACGCTCTCCAGGTCGGTCCGGGGAGTCACGGAGCTGGAGAAGGTGGAGTGACTGCGCGCGCTGTCCTGGCAGCAGCACACCTCCCGCACACCCCGCTTCGTCTTGACGCTGAACAGCCCGTACACGATCGGGTTGAAGGCGGAGTTGAAGAGGGCCATGGTCTCGGCGATGACGTACGCCACGTCAGGCAGGGACTTGCCCGTGTACACGTCATGGAGGGTGACGACGAAGTACGGCGTCCAGCACGTCACGAACCCGATGATGATGCACACAGTCATCTTGATCGTCTGCAACAATAAACAAGATCAACCCTTGAGTATGTAGGAAAGGAGATCAAAAAGGAGTACGGTATACAAAAGCCATCAATCAGACTAAACAACAGTAGTTCTCTCAGTTCATTTTAGTGAAGCTGAAGAAGAGCGACGGCTGTCACTGGAAACGCCCGTGATTGTCTTTGAATATTGTTTCACAGCTTTTAAAGTTGCATTTGCTGTCCAAGATATAGTAATATTCTTCTGTTAGAATCGTCCTGATTGCTCCCACCCCCTCTTTCGATCTTACTTGGCGTCAAAGACACTTGACTTGAAGTTGTACCCACTTTTATCTTGGCCTTAGAGATGGTGTCTGTCCTGGTGCGGCTGTAGTTCTGGCCGGTGGGGCAGGTGGACTCGGTGTGCCACAGGGTCCAGACGATGCGGATGTAGCAGTAGGAGATGATGATGGTGGGCGCTACCAGCACATACAGGGCCAGCCACGTCACGTACGCCTGCCTCTGCCACTCCGCCGTGTACCCCTGGCTGAACACAAACATTTTCGAAAATGATTTCATCAGGTTGGTAGGACATAGGATATGGGGATTTTCTTCTTACACAACCGGTACTGTATCCCACCTGCTTATGTTTCGATGTCTATCACACCAGAAAGAAATTCAAATGTATGCAGGTGGGAAAGAGTGTAGCTTGTGTAAGAAGAGAATCCTATCCAAACATTTTACCCTTGATCAGATGAGTATCATGTGTCTCATTTCTTTTCAATTATTGAGTGCAGAATACAGGAGCATTGGTCATCATGAAAGTTCATCTGTGTTGGTAGTTACATGTTTAAAACTTTTGTTCCAACATTAAAGGGAAAATCTCACCTAGAGCTATCGAACCAGCCACTCTGGTCTTCCTCAGTAGGCTGACCCCGCCCAGTGAGACTAGATACCTTTGACCCAGTGTTGACGTCACACTTCAGAGAACCCATTCGACTAGTCTCACTTGGTCAGTCTACTGAGGAAGACCAGAGTGACTGGTTCAAAGGTCCAGCCACTTTACCTGCGTTGACCTTCAAACATACTGATCACGTGACTACCTTCTTTAGCAGCTGGAGAAATAGACCTTGACATTTTCGTGAGTATCTGTCTAAATTCCTTCCTTTTGCTGTGCCTTTTACTGTTGCAAGAATATAAGTGGTGTTAATGCAGGAGGAGAGTGGAACAGACTAGTCTTTCTCACGGAAGGCATCACAGAAGGAGGCATTCGCATGTCAAGGTCACGTGTTAACATGCTACACATATAGCATACCAGAACCACGGCGGACGTGTAGCTGCATAAAATTCACGATAAATTCACGAGTTATAAAAAATTATTCTTTTATGAAATCCAAGAATGGTTGCTAATGCTTTGGTAATGGTCTAGAATGAGACTAAGCTTATACACATTGGGAACTGCAGGATAGTAGTAGTACTAGGCTATTAACTTTATTCGAGTTCCACCGGCAGGATAACCACGCTGCCGCACACTCATCGTTTACTGCATATACTTATCCGTTTGCAACTGGCCTTCAGACATGAACTTATCAAAAAAGGTACAGTCCATTGGCGCTAGCGCCGCCTTCTGAGACTTTGCGAAACAACACCAGGCAAATGCACCCATGGATGTCTTTTCCTAAATCCATGTATCTCTTTTTGACGTATCAGTGACACAAACCCGTATGTATTGGCGAAATGTACAAATAGAAATAAAAGATAAAGGATTGGAATTTACCAATTCGGCATTTATCCATTTTTGGCCTCTCCGATCCCAAAGTCTGGGTAGAACGAGTATAAACAAGTACAAATACATTTGGTATCATACTACACTTCTGCATGGAAATTTTACATTAACCCAAATCTAAGTTTTCTGCCGATATACATGTAGAACTTTCTATTGTACGATGTACAAGCGGATGTTAAGTAGAGCACCTAATTTCATTGACATTATATAAACCTTTCATCTTCGTAAATTGCCAACGTTTGACTTGAAAGAAGCGCAGATTGGAGGTCTTCTGCTAGCTGCCCCTTTGTGCAGGCCGACATATTGTCATCACTTCACGATATCGACAGGAGAATGTTTGAAGTCACCCAAAAGGCCACTCCAGACAGAAATTAAATTTCCGTGCCAGCTGTGGCCAGGGGGATGGAACAATATCCTCGGCTTCTTCACTCCAATTAATTTGTTTTTTCAGGGCCGCTCTGTCAGCGAATCAGAGAGGTAGAAGGAAAGTGGACTACGTCCCCTGGTACAGCAATTAATTCCCTTCCTTTGATGTCTATGCGAATGGAATCGTCCGCATCTATCTATTAGTGCCAATTAGCTACGTCTTTGAGACTTCGCAATTAAACATTACGGAAGGTCACCCGAAAACCCAACGGCCCTTTCCAGACAGCGAACAACAGTCTCGAAATTAATTTCTGTCGGCATGTACATGTAGGTCAAGGATACCATGTATTGCAGCTAAGTTTTTACTCGATTTTCATCGGAAAACAGCATTCTACTGATGACTTGGGTATCAGACAAAGGTATGGTCCTACAGATGAAGATATGCAGACCATAACTGTCGAGTATTATTTTTTTATGCTATCTTACTTTGAGTGATCAAAAGCTCCAAGTTATCTTCTTCGATTACTCCCGTCTCTGCTTTTATTCTATAAAAAGAGCGAGCATGATTCTATAAAAAGAGCGCTGGCGAGCATAAACTGTCTGTTTGATTATTCTATGATGGCATGATGAGCATTTGGGACGCTGACAGCAGTGCAGAAGTACTGAGAACATAAAAGAATTTGTTCAAGCGTAGCGTGCGTGGTTCAGTGGTTAGCGACCCTGGCTCTGAAACAAGAGGTTGGTGAGTCTGAATCTCGGCTGTTGTTGCTCATCCAACATGCACGCTACTGGAAAGGGTCGCAGTCCTTAGGACAGAACATGGTTCAATATTCACTGTTCTTGTCGAAAAGAGCTACGGGCTGTCTTCTCTGTCACTACCAACGGAAGAGAAGCTCTTCAGTGAGCTAAAACTGGATCGAAATCACTTTCCACTTCCCTTGCCACAGAGACATGAAAAACTTAAAGTAGGTCAGCTATCTTTTTTTAGAAATGGAAGGAAATACGACTCATTTTTTCATCACGGTTCTAGCTTGGCACCTGTATCGGATATCAATTTTCCATGATGAACAGCAGCAGGTTGAGACGACGCCGGCACAGACGCAATTTTACCGTAACGCCCAGAGGGTTCTATACGCATGTCAAATAGGGTAGAGGGGAAAGACGTAAACGTTGACACACTTTTACCATAACGGCTTCTGTTGTCGACACATTCCTGATATCCTTTAGGATGAGGAATAGCGAGAACACGCGACAGAGACGCAGACCTGGTCACGCCTTTACCATAACGACCACCGGGTTACGTGCGATAGGCATCCTCTCACATAGCGGATGTCAACAAGTTAACGATGCATGCACAAGCGTAACGATGTACTTGTTCCAGTGACGTCAGCCGGTGACGTACGCTGACTATCCTTTCACATTAAGAGCCGCCTCAAGTAGGTGACGAGACGCAATCGCACTTTTACCGTGACGACAACTCGACACCTGTCCCGTTATTCCTTCACAATATAGATAACAACAAGTGTGTTGGGGGGGGGGCACTTTCGCCCGGCGTAATACCGTTGGGAGATCAATGTAATTAAAGTAAAATGTCCAAAAACGATTACACGACTTTCCCCTGCTCGCTCAGTCCTAAAAAAAGCTTGCTCTCCGATGTCTTCAATCCATCAGATTGAGACATATGTGTCATGGAGGATCGGCTAAATCCTTTGTAATTAGTTTCCATCTGAGACAAATTTGATTAATGTCGGCCTCTACATCCATAAAGATTACCGGGGACGCTGCATGTCTTGTTACCTTCGCCAGGAAGGTTATGTTGTCGTGGCTGTGTGTGTGTGTGTGTGTGTGTGTGTGTGTTTGTGTGTGTAGTGTGTGTGTGTGTGTGTGTGTGTGTGTGTGTGTGTGTGTGTGTGTGTGTGTGTGTGTGTGTGTGTGTGTGTGTGTGTGTGTGTGTGTGTGTGTGTGTGTGTGTGTGTGTGTGTTTGACAATAGCATAACTCTAGAAGGCTTATAAGAATATCCTGATATTTGGTAAGTGGGCAGGTCTTGATGAGATCTTGTAATGGTTAGATTTTTTTCTCTTGAAAGTTAAGGCAAACTTGTATCTACATGGTGAATCAGCATTCAGAGCCTCAAGCGGCAGTCGAGCCTATCCATCTTCTTGTGAGAGCGGGAAATGGAAAACGGCCTGCGTCTTACTCTCAGACGTTTTTCAGGATTATGAGCTTAACCCGAGGATCAGACAAACACGGAACGTCCGTCTTTTACAACTAGGTACGCCCAGTTTTCAAAAAGCTTCCGGGTTCTGAACTTTTTTCCCTGGTCCAGACCAAAATATTGGAATCCGGTACTGTGGTCGGCTGTCTTTGGCTGAGGTTCGGCGAGGTTGGCTACTGTTCGGCTGCTGTTCTGGAGGGGACGGGAGGTTGGACCAGGGTTGGGGACTGGTTGCCTAGTGGTTGGGAGTAGTCCAACATTGATGGGGCGTGATTATGCAGTCAAATTTGACTAAAATTTATCTCAAATTCGATTCGATTCGTATCGGAATGGTAGGCGTGGCCAAAATTTGGTCAGACTGTTCCCGATATCTTCAACCAACCTTGGTTGTTTCTTGGGTATTCGGGGGAAGATTCTTAATGTGTGACTGGTCCTTTAGAGAGTGCTTTCTTGTTGTGTATGTTTGTTCTGTGTGATGCCAGGCGATCCCTACCTCACACACACGCGCTTGACCGCCCCGGTCTTACTCCGCCGCTCCTCCTCCACAAAGATGAGCAGCTGCGGGATGGCGACCACGAACGCCAGCAGCCACGACAGCGCCACCATGCGGCGGGCAGACGACTCCGTCTGGAAGTGCAGCGGCTTGGTGATGGCCTGGTGCCGGTCGATGGTCATGGCTGGAACAAACGGAAAAACATGTCATACTTCTCCAGAAAGTATGTTTGTAGCAGCGTTTGTATGTGTGGTTATGTGTGTGTGTGTGTGTGTGTGTGTGTGTGTGTGTGTGTGTGTGTGTGTGTGTGTGTGTGTGTGTGTGTGTGTGTGTGTGTGTGTGTGTGTGTGTGCGCGCGTGTGTGTGTGGTTTAGCACTATAACTCAACGATAACTCAAGAAGCTATAAATGCATTGTAATGAAAGTTTCTTGGTGGGTAGGTCTTCATGACACCTCGAACTTTTTAGATTTTAGGGCAACCTGGTGTCTTGTTATGGTACTGCAGTGGAACTTCTGGTATTTGGTATCTCGTGATCTTGACATGGGCATGCTTAGCCTCATTCACAGACTTGTTGGGTGGCGGCGTTTTTTTACGGTGAGCGACGCAAGTTATTCCGAGGAGGGACGATTTTGCCGCCGAGGGGGTTTTCCCCCGGAAAGAAGGTTTCGCGCCCCTATAACTTGCGTCGCTCACCGAAAAAAAAACGCCGCCACCCAACAAGTCTGCGAAGAACGCTAGGCATGCTAGTGTCATGAATTTATTTCGGATGGTTTTTGTCAACTTTCTTTGAATTAATGAACTGATTTATTTATCATATACAACACACATACCATTGCAGCCTTACATGGCTGAATTGGGGCATGATACAAATTTATCTAGAATGGTTCTGCAGCTCAACAACAAAAGGTAAAACACTATTAATACATTCTTAAACCTAGACGTCCTGCAGCTAAACTGCATGAAGTTGTCCTTTGATCTCAGTTCTCTGCATGCAGGCATCCACGTTTAGGAGGCAGCCAACAAGAGAAGTTGGGACATTTAGCTATAGACATTGCAAAGTTCACACATAGGTTACGGAGTCTCAGGTACAAGTGTGTAAGTGATAGTTACTCTATTGCCCTGTCATAGCTAACATACTTTACTTGGCATACTGTTCCAAAACCGATAACCGTATACATATGTTGGGTCCTTCTCTTAAATGACTGTTGATATATTTTCAGGTTAGAACAGCGTGGGGTATTTTTTGTAGTTTTGTAAGAAAATCCTGTGTAGGCGGTGTAACACGCTGACATTGTCATTGCAAATAACCTCACATTATCTCAATCCGATAAGCGCTAGATGCGCTCCCGGGTGGTCCCATGAGAACATCGCACGCGACTCTGTCTGGTCTTAAATCTGCCTGTAAAGGTTACGACCATCTCTGCTTTATGTTCATGAATACCATTACAGCAGTCCAGGATCGGGTTTAAAAAACAAATCAATGTATTTTCATTCCATCATCACCAGTATAGTACATCCACTGTGGGGACTTATGTCGAAAGCTTTGGAAAAATCATAGCCTGACTTGGATACTGGTTAAAGAATGTCATGTACTTTTAGGATAAGGCCACACCAAGTAAATTTTATGGATGACGTCCTTTGGAGACCCTAAATCTAATGAGAGAGGGCGAAAAATAAACAAGAAAGGCCCTCAAAAACAAGATGCCTAGGTTAGAAATAAACTAAGAGACGACAAATGTTAGGACACAAATTGAATGAGGTGACACAGTGTAACAAGCAAGAAGTCTTTTATTCATCGTCAAAAAAGCAATGAATCAGGTGGAACAGCAGTTATCGTCCTGTCCTGTTTCTTTCATCACATTTTTGCAGGCCTGCAGAAACAAAGCATGTGCTCTTTACCCATTTGGCGTTACGGGTTTCACGTCAACCTAACGATTTGTGGCACTGTCGTGACTCTTTGGTCATAGTTACAGGAAGCGGAATTTCTTTTTTTTTCTAGGAACAGGCCAAAATCAATGCGCGCGCGGACGTCATCCATAAAATTTACTTGGTGTGGCCTAAGCTGAAAATCTGTAAATTGCTCGGTCCTAAGCCATGCCATGTCTGGAGCCCATCATTATTTCCCGTCTTTCTTACTGATTCACAACATGATAATAGCGATCTAATGAGCTTAAGTATCTGCCAGATGTACAAGTGGGTGATGCTGATCCATAGTTACCTTTACTTTAAAACGATCGATGGCCATCATTGGTTAGCGTTCCTTTGATCGGCATTTCTTTTTCTTTTACATCCAAATAAAAATTGAAACATGACAGAGTAGAAGCGGCTTCAGAAGCTTCCATTGTAAGAAAGAAATGTGTTATATGATCTTGTCCGGATATCGTATGCTTTTGAGGATCAGGACTTTACAGCCAATGATAATGACAACGGTTTAACGATATTGCCTTGCAGATCAAGACGGTAATTCACCACTTAAACACGGTAATCCAATTTTCGGGCCATCATCACTGCAAACGTAGTTAACACATCAGGGGCACATGCCAGCGATAAATTCTAAATTGTGTCTCGGCCTTCAATCCTTTGCAGAAAATCTAGTCCACTGTACAATGCCTGCAGCGTACTGTGATAAAATGTTGTCTGTGGACTCGGTGATTATAAGTGCCAGATCACGTCATGCCTGTGATTGACCGGTTTGTTGTTGTCGATTTCATAACATCGACATCACAAAGTGATATGTCGCGAATATATCTACATCAATATACATATACTAGTATTGCAATCCATTACCTTCCACAGAGTGATGGATCGCGAAGATATCTAGATCAATACGTCGGTGAAGGTTGGGCATCCAGGTAATGAGATACGCCAAAAACAGTTAGTCAAGCAACTGGATATGATTTTGGAAACGGTCAGACGTTTCAGGTAGCATCCACTACCTTTCGTCAGTGACACTAGAGACTGCACGAGAATGGCTGGTTTATAAGCACGAACTATTGATTTATATGCACATAAGTGAAGAATTTTTTGGAAGAAAAAAGTCGTTAAACCGTTGTCATTATCTAGATCAATATACATATATTGCAATCTATTGCCTTCCTCAGAGGACGCAGCTTTGTTGCATAAAAGTCAAATCAAAGACAAATCAGCAGAGATAGATGGATCCCGCAATCTAAGGACCACATGAATATATTTGTTGTCCAAATGATAAGTGACAACAACTTTGATGTACATGTTTGTGTATCTCACAAGAAGAGAAGGAGAATTGTTCTCGCCTACCTGTGAGGATGAAGGTAGTGCTGGCCAGCGTGACGATCTGCCCGTAGACGACCAGCTTGCACATGACGGCCCCGAGCACCCACTGTCCGAACGCCACGAACATGATCTCCGTGCTCATGGTGACGACACACACGCACAGGTCGCCGATGGCCAGGTTCAGGATGAAGATGTTGACTCTGCTGAAGCGTTGTTTTGCGGAAGAAGTGGTGAGAACGGTGATGATGAAGCCGTTTCCCACCAGCGCCATGAACATGATGACTGCGATTGTCGTGACCCTCTGGATGACAGGAGCGGTCCAGATGTTCTCATCGGCAGCTGCAGTTGAGTTTGATTCGAAACGGAACCCGGTTTCCTCAGTCGGTGTGACGTTCATGGTGAATCTCTGGTCCCAGTCCTCGGCAGCAGGTAGAGAACTTGTACGTGGTCCGTTTCCCCCGACCTACCTGGTCGCCGCGTCCTGCGCCATCTTTGTCCAGCGCCTCTGAATGAAAAATGAGACGCGGTTCTCGTGTAGATCAGACGAGAAAGGCCGGCTGATCAAAGTCTACAGAATGACAGAAATAAAATTTAAAGTATTAATTGATCATTAGCAGTGTCGTCACATGCACCGTATCTCAGATAGATGCTTTTCAATCCATCCTTTTTTCATTTTGGCACAAAAATCATATGGTAAGAACGTATTCTGCTCAGCCTTTCTATAGCCTGTGATCTCCACTTTAAAGCCGTGCGTGCCGCCGCATGCAAGGGCAGAAGTGTCCAGTCCTCCCACGGACGTCATTTTTGTTAATCAGAAAGACAGCCAACAAAAGTGAATTCCTGGCCCCAAACACGTTTGGACATCCCTCGTCTTTGTGGAACGCGACAGGCTCCTTACCTCTCGGGATGGAAGCTATATGCGGTCCGAGATAGTGTTCCAAGGAATTCAACAGCTCTTAGACGAGGTCCAGAAGATGTCTTCGCCTTTTGTCGTGACCATCCATTAGCTGAATGTGGTTGTGATCCTGCCTGCCTGCGGGTGGACAGTCGGGTTAATCCGCGGAACAGACACCGTGTCCATCAGGTCTGCTCAGGCCGGCCACTGCAGCAGGTACAGGGGAAGACATGAGCAAGTCAAGCGGCGCGGCTTCATGTTTAAGCAACAAGTTGTTCCGCCCGTCAGGTGCGCCCGGCGACTTCAGAATAAAGCGGTGCCTGTTGATTACTTCTGCAGCGTCAGCCTGGTGATTTATAGTTTGCCATTCATCTGTTCCGACCTACTCATAATACGTGGATGATGAATGACTAGGGCGGCCATTCAACATCAAACCCAAAGATAACTCGTCGAGGACTCTATTGAATCAAATCAGGAAGGGCCAGGCCCATGCACCTCCTTTTTTTTACCAATCAATATGTCATATGATTAATAAGCAATTGATTAAAATAGACAAAGTAAAGAAACTGGCGGGTATATGATGAGCGACCTTCTAGCAGCTGGCCGGTTCCAGGAAACTCGGTATGACGTATGCGACATCAGAGCTGCTATTGGTCTCCAGGAGCGCCAAATAAAACCTCATACGTCTTGCGCGGATATTTCCTAATCCGACAGCTCTGTTATGTAAAACCGCTGCATCAAGCTCCTGATTACACCGTTAAGCGATGGAAGTATGATCTTGTGCGCGCTGATTAATACGCCCTTTTCATTTTCTAAAGGCTTTTTAATTGGCAATTGCGCGAACGATATTGCAATGACATGGAACTTACTCGAAAGAAAACTACATGTATATCAGTAAAAAAATATGATTAGATAATTTCAAACCCAATACAATGTAGTATGAACTTTATATAGCTAAACAATCACATCTTTGTGATGGGAGATCAAATGACTCAGTCGTCATGCACCGATATTTGAACCATTCCCTCTAAATCTAAAATATGTTCATAAATGAAGTAGATATAACGTTCCTGTCCTCCCAGTGTTCTAAGCAGCAGCCAACTGTGTCCGTATGCATTGTAATAAATATGAACGCCGTTGCCTTGTTAGCATCAGTAGTTTGGAAGAAACCTTAAGTTTAACTTACGTAAGACTGATATCCAATACCGCTAACGTACAGAAAGCCACTTTGTGAAGTTGCAGGCGTTCTTTTTTTTACCACATAGGCCAAACATCCTTTTCTTGTTGGCTTCTGTCATGCATTTTAATGATGACCTGAGACAATCTAATCTCGGCACCCTCTCATCGGTGATAGGTTTCCTTTTACAGTTTAAGTTCCCGCCGTGCTGGCGTGATTTTCCCAGATACCGCGGCCCGACTGGTTCGTGCTCGGCGGCTTTAACGCCCCGGAAGACTCGGATCTCTCCCAAGGCCCCGGCTGATCGCTTATCTTTAGTAAAAGGCCCTTTTCCGTTTGGTCTCCAACTACTAACGCGAAGCGTGCCAAAAGCCCATTTAAAGTTGAGGGGGAGGCAGCCACAAGGAGGTACTGAAGTGTGGTCCTGAATAACACTTCGTCCTGACGTGAACTTGCCTGATAGCAAAACTTTCCTTCTCGTTTCCGATCACGAAGAAAAAGGCTCGGCAAGAGATTACCACGATAGTACCGGGTCTCTATCTAAATCCTCCATATGGGTGCAATTTGCAGAATGTCCGCGAGGCAAGCACCGCTTACTACATTCGACATGTGATTCAATGGGTCCGAGGGACGTCATTAACTTGAGACCCTACGATCTCTTCTTTTTGATACTGCCCGCAAACGCCTGCAATCAAGTGCAAGTTGATGCTGCGTTAAGATCCTTCTGTATTCTTAAAAATAATTGATGACAGAAATAGTACAGCTGAAGCACGGTCGGGATGCTAGTTAAGATCATTGTACGTCATCTACGCAGTAGTTGGCGTAGTTGAAATAAATGAAAATCTGTCCGGGTTCTGACATGCTAGAAGGTCATTTCTGCTGTTTAAAACTTTCAACAAAGGCTCTTGAGAAGACTGTGATGGGCTCGGCATTCGTGTGCTCACGAATGGTTTCCTTAGTGGAAAGAGAGAGAGAAGAGGAAATAGTCCCAGCCCACTGTTACCCTCCGGGCGTTGTTCTGGTAAATCGACGATGAGGTTAAACGTACCATATTTGTCTTCACGTCGTCTTGTTGGCTTACTTTGCTGTCTGAAAAACAAATGATCGTCTTAAGGACTCCACAATAACTCTCAGGTTAGGATTTTCTTATCTCCTAGGTACAGCTTACGCTCTGGGATCCATTTCCTCTACTTCTCCTACTTTCGCGTACATGGCAGGAACCGGAAAACTTTAGCGTTATGACGTAACCTGGGGAGTTTTTTTAAGTTGAAAGATGTGTTTCCTCGTGGTGTTAATAGTAGTATATGGGCGAAGCTACCAGAAATGGCATACATAACAAAACAAAACATGTAACAGCCTCTGTGAAATCAGTGCTTACGTCAGGAAAGTTAGAAGATATGATGAATGACGCGTGGTTGCCCTCCCAAGCGGTGCTCATGGTACAGATTTATCGATTGTGGGAGACGATCCATGGTAATTTGTCATAGTCCGCAGGTTATGGTAATGATCCGCACGTTCTCGAATGTATAGAGTTCCGATAGTCCATGTAGCTGTGAATTGTTATGTATATCCTCATTTCCATGCGCAAATGACGGAAAATGAAGGCAGAGCTGCCTTGATTATCAAGATTAAGCACTAGCCTTCATTGTTAAGATAAAGTAATCTGTTATTCTTTTCTTCATCGCATTTTGAAGTGTCTGTCTCCTCCAGCTTGAGGAAATAGGTCAGGGCGCTACAAAACCAGGAAAATTATGCAACATGTTCGCTGGCCAGAGTTACAGAGCCTATGCGAACTAGCTCTGTAGCTTGCGTCCTGATACACGTAACAGTCTTCCCAGTGTCAGCCGTAATCCTATTGTAGGAGTCTATTGCTATCCAAAGGTTAAAGTGGCTTTAGGGTTTATGTAAGCTTGTTCCCCGCATTGCGATACGGTTGGCATCCTCCCCAGATGCAATTCTATTCCGGAGGTCTTTGTGTAACGCCGGGTTAAAAAGGTTCATGTTTAAACTCATGACAGAGGAGGGTCGCCTGCAGAAAACGCAATCCTGGGCTCTGCAGTATGTCAAGGGCGGTCAATATGAATAGAGCCGGAGGCACGCAGCGTGTCCTGGAAATGGCATTTACACCATTGAAATGTCAATACGGGCGGATCTGCACACTTCATCGGAGGACGCCATCTCAGACGGGCGTATTGGCATTTACCATTTCCACACCCCTGGATGAGGGACACAGCCATATATCACGTTCATGGAGAACATTACTGTGCGGCACTTACCTTACAATGCATTAACTGTAGTTTATGTGGACAAGTGCTTAAGTAGTTCTACAGAACTTTGTACTACAAAATATTGGTAAGCTTTCAGAACAGTTAAAGTTACAGTTACTGTGGGATGATATTCAGGTTATTACTTTGGCACAACCGGTATTCTATGGGCTATCTACCTTTAAGTCTTACATGCCGTACGGCCTAATGGTAGATAACCCATAAAATGATATAATGACGCATTGTCATGTTATTCCGAAGAGTGCGAAGTTCTCTCGCTATTAGAGGAGCACTCCCTCATGGAGGATAAGCTGCATTTACTCCATGTCGATATCTAATGATTCTCTCCTGTAGAGCATCACTCAGCACTTATAGTATATATCCTACCACGTCCACAATCAATAAAGGTGCTCATAAATGTTTGATGCTTGCACGATGTACGCTGAAGATTGGATGATGCAGTTATGAAAAATTCATGCGGATGAGGATATGGAAAGGATGAAGAAGGTGATACTGGAGGATACTTTATGCTGAGGGTGAAAGAAAGTTGACTCTGTCGCCAGTTAAGTGTTTCTTGTAGCTCTCTCAAGGTGACCACATCACAAGGGGAATAGTGGCGGGCTGTCCATAAGCAAAAAGCAAAAGATAGTTTGTAGGAAGGGTTGTAGGTGATGTCATTGTCGCTTTATGTAATTATGAAGTCCATAACAACCTTTCATCGATATACCATTCCTGTATCTTTTAGCAAATAATCGTTTCTTTTCAGAAATATGTATTTCCGTACAATTTGACTTGTAAGATTTGCTCTCTATAGCCTATAAGAAAGACAGTTTGTTGGGAGTGCAGCTCCTGGAGACACGTCTTTGATCAAAGTTTGTGATCTGTGAAATCAACTTTGCCTTTTACCAGATCATCATCCCCCAACAGGGTCATCGGGTAACGGGAATCAATACTGGGTACTAACATAAATCACACACCTGATTTATAACGAACATCACACCGGTCTCTCTAATTAGCTGTATAATAGATTTTTCCATTGGCTGAGTATCGATCCGTTCATGTCCCATTGACTTGTACAAGTGTTTCAGTCGGTAACGCTTAGTAACAGCTATCACCCATTTAATCAATCGGATCTTCTAAAGCAAGCAGTAGGGATTTTACATGAAAGGAATGTTGTTGTGTTGACCTACAAAAGTCCATGTAAACATTTACACTACTGGCACATAAATATATTTATGACCATGATTATTATTATGACAAATATGTATTTGGTGCAACGTTCTTTGACCTGCCCTTCCAACTTCCATCCTCCAAGGGTGACATTTTACCATACAGATTGTAGGGCCGATGGATTTGGTGTGGAATTGGATGGCCTGCCAAAGATGCGTAGATACAGCGTACATGGAAATTTACTGGTTATGTAATACTGTAGTAAATTAGACACACGTGGAAGCTGGAGATTTTGCTGGAACTCTTAGGTGTTGGAGAAGCAAAGTGCGCACATCCGTCACGCACGAGTGACCCAGAGTGGAGAAATCCCGCTGAAAGAGCCTGAGGATTAGATCCGCCACAGCCAGGCTGTCCGCGGAATGTCAATAGCCGCACTGGACACTCGCTGAATAAAGACGTGTAGCTAATGAATTTCTAATAAACGTAGCCGAAAGCTGGGAGCCCATGGCGCTTGGGACTTATTTTGGGAAATACATGTAACAAGAAAAGTTGATAACCATAACTCGTCCTTTGCCGTAGTGGACACGGGTCCAGTC